TCCTGATACATCCTGGGAGATGTTTGTCAGCAGGTGCTTGCATGGTCAGGGAGCCAGTGTGGAGGTTGGAGGTTGAGTCTGGCCATGCTGGTCTTTCTTTAGCTGGTACTGACTGGGAAAGGCTTGGACAACCCACTGCAGCAGGTCTTGTGCAGGGTCTCTAGGAGTCACAAGTATGTACTGGGGCAGAGTGCTTATGTTAAACCCTGCACTGATGTGTTTTTTATGTGATTCTCCAGTAGCTCGACCACCATGAGATTGGGTGACCTTGGTGAGGTTGGGTTTGCCTGCAAGTGCTGTGGGCTTAATCATAGAATCATAGAATCAACCTGGTTGGAAGAGACCTCAAAGATCACAGAGTCCAACCCTACCATGGTTACTAGACCATGGCACTAAGTGCCACATCCAGTCTCATCTTCAAAACCTCCAGGGATGGTGAATCCACCACCTCCCTGGGCAGCACATTCCAATGCCTGAGCACTCTCTGTAAAAAATCTCTTCCTAATATCTAACCTCAACCTCGCCTGGCAGAGCTTGAGTCTGTGCCCTCTTGTCCTGCTGCTGGTTGCCTGGGAGAAGAGACCAACCCCCACCTGACTCCAACCTCCTGTCAGGGAGTTGCAGAGGGTGAGAAGGTCTCCCCTGAGCCTCCTCTTCTCCAGGCTGAACACCCCCAGCTCCCTCAGCCTCTCCTCATGGCACTTGTGCTCCAGTCCCTTCACCAGCCTCGTTGCTCTTCTCTGGACCTGCTCGACTCAACCTGCATTGCCCAGTTCGCCTCAGAAATGCAGAAACATTGCACATTTAGAACATGTGTAGAAATAACATCAAAGTGATGAATCTTACTTGATCAAGCACAGCTGAAGTGAATTAAATAGCCTGTTTAATTTACATATCAGGTTGCTCTTGCTAGCAGAGTGCAGCCTGTTTTCACATGCCTATTTTGTACTGCAGGATCAACAAAACTTGTGGGTTGCCTGATGCCAATGCAAATATTTGCCAGTAATTTCTTTTGTGTGTTTTACACTAGTCCATATTCCAAAAGACATAAGAAGTAAAGCCCTGATGATTTTTTAACAATAGAAAAACAAGATCTATGATCCTACCTAAAGAACACTCCATAATGTAAACAGCAAGTGTTACAAGTGTCATAGCTTGTAGAATATAACAAAACCAGAGTCTTGCCTGTTTTCTCTTCACTCCTAGCGAGTTTTCTACATGTCACCTGTTGTGCCAAGGCAGCTCAGAAAGACATCTGCTTTGCTACTCTGCTTGCTAAGTGCAGCACTCAAGGCAATGTTGTTGGGCATGTGTGTATTGCTTTTATTCACCCACCGTACATTTTGATTTTCTTCTGCTCTGCATTTAGTTTTGTTCCACTGGCACAGTGCAGTAGAACAGTTTAATGCTAGTGCATTGCTGGTGGTTAGTAATTTCAGAGCCATACAACAAAACCAGGGAATCATAGACAGATAAGATAACATTGCTCATCATCCTGAATTCTCAGCCTTGTCCTGCAATCATCAGTATTTTTCTGGACTATTCTCAGTGTTAAAAATCAAAATTACATAGTATGAAGTCAGTTTCAGGAGAAAGAATACATCGTCTGTATTTTTAAAATTAATATTAGAAGTCAATATTGTTGATATTTTAGGGTATTTTTATGTTAGTGTAAGAATAATTTATGCCCTTTCTCTCAGAAAAGATGCCATGATGGTTAAAATTTAGAACTGGAAATATATTGTTAAGTTTCATTGACTCATAGAATTTTAGGGGTTAGAATGGACCTTACAGATTATCCAGTCCCAACCCCCTGCCCTGGGCAGGGACACCTCCCACCAGAGCAGGTTGCTCAAGGCTTTATCCAACCTGGCCTTGAACACTGCCAGGGTTGGGGCAGCCACAGCCTCCCTGGGCAACCTGTGCCAGTGTCTCACCACCCTCACAGGAACAAACTTTTTCCTAATATCCAGCCTAAATTTCCCCTCCATTAACGTGAACATGTTAAATTTGGATTGATCTCTTTTTTTTGTCACCTTCATTTTACAATTTTCTCTTCTTAATTCCATCTTCCAGTCTCTAATCTGTATGTAAGGATGTGAGACTGTAAAAAACAGCAAAATCAATTGAAAAATGAATTCTTAGCACCAAAGAACAATTGCATATCAATATGAAACTTAAAGGAGCCTGCAGACTTGGAGAAATACATGGCAGAATTTTGCACCACTGCACATAGTGTCCTTCTATTTCATTCTTGTATTCAGCACACTGGATAATGCTCTACAAGTGTATCCCAGGGATCGGTTGTGCGAAAATACAATAACGTGTCTGAGATGGAGGGTTGGGTTACAAAAGTGATATTTTTTTTACTTTTCTTTTAACCAGATGTGAAAATTGTATCCTGTGTCTGTCGCTCTGCCTCTTTGAATCCTTGAATAATGGAGGGCTTTTTCCTGAATCAACCCTAAATGCAGTGGAAGCTTTTTCTTGAGCAAGTCTCCATTTCTCTTCAGCTACTCTTCTTGACTCCTCTTTCAAATCTAGTGCTTAATACTAGTTTCTAAAACCTATTTGCTTTGTAATGCTCTGCAGTAGCCTTTGCCTGGTAACCATTTAACCTCTCCAGATGAGTCCATGGCAAGGCTATTACCCACTTCTGAGCTGGGACTAGAGAGGCTCCTTCATCCTTCTTGTTCTTTCCTTTAACACTTTGGGGACATCATTTAACCTCTCTGTCCTTATCAGAAACAGGATAGCAATATTTTTTTAGTCTAGATTTTTATTTCTTTTTGTGGGGAGTTTCTTAGGGCCTGGTTTATATCTGAGGAAGTCTTTGCTCGGTATCTGCTATGACTGCTGAGAATAATTAACAGAGATCCTAATATCTCCTCTGCCAGCATCCACAATTATTTTATTTCCATACTACCTAAAATATGTTTGACATAAGAAATTATGCCCTGCAGGATCAGGATTCTGTGTTATAATTTGTACTATAATTTTTATGGATTATAGAAAATGTTTAAAAATATAAGGCTAGAAAAATTGCACAGTATTTTGAATCTTTTTTATATTTTCAAAAGAGCTTTGCAAAGACATAAAGTTAAATATTTGCAGTATAGCAATCAATATGTGCATTATAATCTCTACCAAATAACATTAGAAGTAGATAATGCTTCTACTAAAACATAATTTATTAAAATGTTTTTGCCACAAATGCTCTTGTTCTGCTTGGGGAAATAGGATGAACAACATGACCTCCTTTGTTTGCCTTTGAGATCCCATTCCCTTTACATTTTTATTTCTTTTGTTTGTTTGTTGATTTTCTTTTTCTTTTTATCCTTTGCAAAGTGCTGGAATGATGTCCTTCTGGACATTGCTAAGTCACCCTTGCCAGAGAGTAATTTCTCAGAGGACTCATAAAAATATTCGCTAAGAATACAATGTAATGTTTCAGCAGTGATCCAGTTTGTCTAAAATTGTGATTACTTCTACATGGTTGCATGTTACACTGGAGGATGCTCACCAGCTATGGGTAAACTCTGCTAGTGGGAATGGGTAGAAGTTTGTTATTGTCAATGACAAATGTTTCCTGAGACTTGAGCTTATGTTTGGATTATTCTGTAGCTTGGAGGGAACTGCAAGATGGTCAATATGGCTCAGTGCTGGTCTTTCACTAGGGCCACAACAACCCCATGCAGCTCCAGGCTGGGGGAGGAGTGGGGAGAGAGATGTTTGTCAGAAAGGCACTTGGCAGTGCTGGTGACAGCAACTCAGTGTGAGCCAACAGTGTGCACAGGTGGCCAAGAAAGCCAATGGCACCTTGACCTGGCTCAAGAAAAATGTGGCAGCAGAAACAGGGAACTGATCTTCCCCCTGTACTCAGCACTGGGGAGGTCACACCTCAATGCTGTGTTCAGATTTGGGCCCCTCACTGTAAAAAGGCCATTGAGGCACTGGAGTGAGTCCAGCCAAGGGCAGCAAGGGCAGCAAAGGGATAGAACACATGAGGAAGGGCTGAGGGAGTTGGGTTTGTTTAGCCTTGAGAAGAGGCTCAGGGGTGACCACATAGCTCTCTCCAACTCCCTGACAGGGCTTAGAGAGATGTGGGGAATGTCTCTCCTGCCATGGCTGCAGGGAGAGGACTAGAGGGAATGGTCATAAACTGAGACAGGGGAGAGTCAGATTAGATGTTAGGAAAAAAATTTTCCCTGTTAAGGTGTTCAGACACTGGAATATTGCCCAGGGAACTGGTGGAGCCACCATGCCTGGAAGTGTTTAAGAGACATCTGGATCTGATGCTGGAGGATATATGGTTTAGGGGTTCCAGCAGAGACAAGTCAATGGTCAGACTTGATGATCTTAGAGGGCTCCTCCAACCTTGATGATTCTATGATTCTATGATTCTATGATTCTATGATTTGGTGTGTGATTTTGGTTCAACAATGCCAAAAAAAGGCAAATGACTCTTGAGGACAGAAAAAAAAAGCATTAATTAAAGTAACAGCAACAGAATACTGAGGTTTTCACAGACATGAAACTTGTACAGTCCAATAGTAAACAATCAATCATGTACAGAAAATTAAAAGGAGAGAGCAACGCTTAGCAAAATGTAAGTTGAATTTTGGGGATCTCTGAACTATAAAAGGTGATGTCGTGACATAGGACATTATGTTCTTGTTGTTTGACTCAAAGTCACATTTTCAAGAAGTGTCACTTAGCTGTGTACCCAGTAAGTCCATCGCTGCTTGCCATTAAGCAGGTCATGGAATGCTATACTCCAAAGCATCTCTTACCCTTCAGAGTATCTCTCAGTTAACAGTCAATAAGGATGGGGAAACAGACCAAAGAAAACACACCCATCAAGCCAGTTTCTGTTGTTGTCTGTCTGGAAAGGTGCCAGAATTGTCAAAGAGGGGTTCAAAAAGTTACACTTTGGTAGTCATGCAGACAATACGTATATGCTGCAAAAATGGAAAGGATAGAATATTTTTTGAGTGAAATAATCTCATGGATTTTCTTAGAAGAAGTCCAGCACAGATCTGGCAGAAACAGCTAAGAAATGCATGTAAAATTAGATGCTTCAACTTGTAATTGTCATCAGTTTCCTCTGCTCCTATGTCTGCAAACTGATTCATTATTCTGTTCCCATAGGTATGTATCTCCCTAATCTGAGAGAACTGAAGCTGGACAATAGCTTGCTTGTGTCTGTGCGGTAAGAAATGAATGATTCAATGAAACAAACAGAAGGAATAACAGTCCTCAATTTTATTTAAGTGATAAAAATCTTCATTTCTGCTGCTTTCATTTCTTCCCTTTTTCCATACTATGATAATGGATTAGGTCATGGATATATGTTCCTCTACCATGTAAGTTTAAGGACAGTACCTGAGCTAGAATAAATCAGTGTATCTGCAATGGTGCCAATGAATTCATCCTAGTCTGCCACCACGGAACTTCCTGATGAAGTCCAGGGAAATTTGTTGCAAATTTGTAAGGAGCTAAAAATTCACCTCTTATCTATGTCTAGGTGCTTGGATTTCAGAGTGTTTCAGCCTTTGGGCTTTTATTGTGCACAGAAGCCTGTTCTATACAGGTCAGACCAGTTCCTCAGCTGATGAAAATCACTTTGTCTTTACTGAAGTTAATAAAGTCAGGTTTAAAAGAGTTGCTGTGAAGACTGCATGTCCCTGGCTTGCTGAGCTTCCTGAAAACATCACCTGTGTTCTCCCAGAAAACTGGGGAATTGGTTGGTTGGAAAGGTAGAAGTGAAAACCATCACAATGAGGAGGCAGAGCTGTCTTCTCTGTCCTGTGCTGATATCTGTATTACCCTTGATAATTATTGCAAATTGGGAAAGTACAGTTCATATCAGAAAAGGGCTGTGTAAAAGGCTGCCTTTTTTTCAAGCAAGACTGCTGTCTGGTTTTGCATAGCTATCTGCTCAATTTCTGGGGGAAAAAGTAGTGATTTTGCCAGTTCTTGTTAAAGGCAATATGTTCCCTGATGAGAAACAGCAATAAATTCATCTCAGCCTCTCTCATGCATCGTCCCTAAAGTAGCTAATGAACTTCAGTTGTCACCCTTTGATCTTATTTTCCCTTGTTCTAGTGATGTGATGAAGTACTTGCTGTCTAATTTTTTTCCCCATCTTTTAGTGCATAGTATGGAAAAGTGGTCATTCTTCATTGTTGCAATTGTTTTAATAGCAACCAACTATTGTCATAAGCATGAAATTGCTCCATTATTGCAATGGAGGAATAAGTAGTGAGTGAAAAAAGTTACAATTTTTGCAAATATTTTATTATATTAAAAAGAAAAAATACAAAGTGAGGGCTTTTTGTGTGGTAAAAAATCCATATTCTCCTAAAATGTTTCAATGGAAAGTGTTTGGACCAGTTCTGTGGTATTGAATATAGGATGCAGTTCAGGAAAATCAAGCTGTTTGACTTAAGGTTTTAGCAGGATTTTGCATCTTTGTATTCTGAGACTCTAATTTCTCTCATGTAAAGTTCTGGCAAACCATTTTCTTTGACCTGACATCCTTGTGGTCCTTGATGCAGGCAGTGTTGGTCTCCAACTGAGTAGAGGGAATGGTCACAAACTGAGACAGGAGGGGCAGATTAGATGTTAGCAAAATGAGGAGAGG